AAATTGTCATTTGAACAAGTTTTTAGGAGTTGGCTCCTTGGTTCGAGATCTGTCTTTTATGTTAAGGATTTTAGGTGATGAACCGCTTAAGGTGTCAGCAATGTAGTCAAAAGCGAGTTTCTATGTAGAAACGTTTTGGTGATCTAGAAGTTTAAAATCGTAAGTTTTTAAGTTTTAAAGCGGAGTTTTTAACTACATAAGTTATAAAAACTGAGATTTTGTGTAGAAGCGTTTTAGTGACTTAGAAACGTAAAATCGTAAGTTTTTAAGTTTTCAAGCGCGATTTTGACTACATTGGGTGTCAGAAAATATTATGATGGTAATCTTTTTGATTGTTACCAGTTACTTAATATATATTTTGAATTCTCTTATGCTACCAAATAAAAATGTAAATTGCTTGACTTTTGTTACTCATTATATTGCGATAAGCAAAATGAATTCAACCAACTGGTGAGGTCTATCTTGCTTCGAACAAATTATTATTGATGTTTATACCATTTATAAAATGTATCCGGCCAACGGATCGCATTCAAATCTAGTATTTTATATTTTGTTTCCCGTATAAACTTTTGCCACCATGATAAATAACACTGTACTTGCTTTTCATTATCTCTTGGAAGAAAGGTAACAGATAGGTTGATGTTTGGGCCCAAAGCTGCTAGGCTAGTGGAATGATGGGAGAGACTGCTAGTTCCTTTTTCGTACATGAGAATGACATGCATTGTGGTGAACGCACCATGCCAATGATTTAATAATCGTCAACCAACTGAAGAGTTGAAACTCAAGAAAAGAGCTGAAAATGGTACGTACGTAGCTACCCAATAGATCGACATAAGAAGGGCGCGGCCATACATTAATCTGTTAACGCTTATTTCAGAGCCATCCATGGAATCGCTAGTTGCAACCAGCACCTTATCATTTGTCAACTGATCTGTATACTTCATTTCAAAGTTCCTTGTAAGTTGTAACCCATTAATCCTCCAGGCCTGCACGTCCATTTCTCGCCTTGCCCACACCCCTAGCTACTACGATTGCCAACCTAAAACTTAAACTCGTCTACTCCTTATGTTAAACACTTCAAAAGGTTATATACGTAACAGTAAGCCTTTTCTTCTTCTTTTTAGAAAGTTTGCCTTTGGTGACCTACTGATAGACATTTTAATTATTTCGGTTTATGTCGGTTTGAATTATTTAGTTCGGGATTATTTTGGGTATTGGGAATATTGTGGGGGATTAATAATTTGGGGGAGTTAGTAGGTAATTGTGTTTTGGGTATTTAGGCTATTGTTTACGTAGAGAATGGTAAGCAAGAATAAACCTAATTCCTAGTTGTTCTCCCTCCTCCTCTCTTCCCTCTGTGATTGCCGACCCCTTTCCCCCTCTCTTCCAAGCTGCCCAGCGGCAGCAGCCCCCTCCCTCCCTCCTTCTCATCTCAAATCCCCTCTATTCTTCTATCATCTATCTCCCAATCTCCCGGATCAATCCCTAGTTGATCCCCGATCCCCAATTGTCCGATAGAGCTTGACCTAGAGCTCTATCATTTGGTATCAGAGCCCGGTTCTTGGGTTCGATCACAAACAGCGAAAGAAGGGTGCAATGGTGTCCACAAAATCGATGACAGCGGCGGAGAAGGCTGCCAAGGCGGCGGCGCCGGAGCAGGCCTCCACCGCGGTCTCGACCGGGCTGCCGGTAGCTGGCGGCGGCAACCAGGGGGCCACCGATCCGCGGGACGGTGAGCTGGTGGACGAAACTGAAAGGCTGGAGCTGATTCAGTCTACTTTGGATCGCCTGGTAGCTGAGTTCGAGAAGGAGCGCAAGGAATGGCGGGCGCTCCGGCAGGAGCAAGGCGAACAGCGGCGGGAACAGGAGGAGGAGTCCCGGCGAGTTTGGAAGAGGTTTGATGAGGTGCAGAGGGTCGTGGAGGCGCTGGCCGCCGCGCAAGCCACTGGGCCGAAGGGTGGTGGCGGCGGCGATGGGAGCGAAAGCCGGAGCGGGCTGGGAGGCTCGACGGCGGATGGAGGCGCGGCGGCGGGTGGCGCGACAGCGGGGGCGATGGTGGTGGCGGAGGCGCCGCCCCCAACGGCGGCTGTCGAGGTGGTTGACGCGGCGGAGATGGTGCCCGGGGAGCGAGTGGGCCAGGGTCAGCCAGGGCGCAGCGGTGGGCCTGGGCTTCTACCGACACCAACGGCCCAGGAGTTGGCGGCCCGCAAGGGTAAGGCCAAGATGCCAGGGTACGACAATGGGCCTCCGCCGACTGGGCAGGGGCCGCCTAGGCCAATGGGCCGGAGCGACATAGTGGGCCAGTATCACGAGCCCAGAGGCCTGGGGTGGCTGACCATGGATCACGAGCGGATCGAGGAGGAGCTCAGCCTGGTGGGCCAGAACGCACCATGGGCCGACCCGGCGGGTGGCGGGGACTATTTGGGCCCGGACGTGACAGGGGCCCAGATCGTGCAGGTTAGGCCGGGCCAGGAGGGCCGATTCGGGCCGGGCCATGAGAGCCGGTTCGGGCCGGGCCAGGAGGGCAGGTTTGGGCCGGGCCAGGAGGGCCGGTTTGGGCCGGGTGGACCGGGGCTGGGTCGAGGAGGCGGCTCGGCTGGTCAGACCGACCCGGGGCTGACCGGGTCGGGTCGAGGTGGGTCGGGTCGGGGCGGACCCGAACCGGGTCGAACCGACAGTGGACCGAACCGGTTCGAACCGGGGCTGGTTAGATCGGCCAGCATGGACCCGAACATGTGGCGCGGATCGCACGGTGCAGGGAATTGGGCAGGACCGATGGGGCGAGGGCCCGCAGGCAGCCTTGGGCGAGGAAGGGGGACTCCGTTCTACCCAGACCAGCCAGGGGGTGCTCCCGGTTATGACAGGTATGGTTCGTATCATCCTGCTTATGATGGAGCTGATGGAATGGTCTTTCGAGCCAAACCCCCGACCATTGAGTTTCCAAAATTCAATGGTCAGGAGGATGCAGGGCTGTGGTTGTATGCAGCAGAGAGGTGGTTCAGAAACCACCCCATTCCGGAGGAGAGGAAGGCGCATCTGGCGTCCTTCTACTTAGAGGGAGAAGCGCTGCAGTGGTGGGAATGGATGGAGAGGTCCTATGGGGCGGTGGGAACTCTGATCACTTGGCCGCTGTTCCAGGAGGAGCTGCGTTATCAGTTTGGAAAATCGGAGGGGTGGGCCCCAGAGCAGTTGGCTAAGCTGAAGCAGACTGGCTCTGTTGCGGACTACCGTGCAGAGTTCTTTAAATTGGGCAATCAATGCCATGGGGTCCCGGAGGAGACACTGGTGGGGTTGTGCATGGCCGGCCTGAAGCCGGAGATTGCTGCTGCTGTCCGGATCTTTGAGCCGGATTCCGTGAAATCTGCTTTTCGTCTTGCAGGGTTCAAGGAAGAGGAGCTGGCGAGTTGGAGGAGCACCATGGGCCGCAATCCGCGGGCAGGGGGCGCCGGGAGCAGTAGCGGACTCAGCGGTGGAGGAGGAGGAGCGCCTGGGACCGCGGTTGGAGCTGGAGGACCCACGGCGACACAGGCGCCAGTAGCTGTCGTGAAGGGTGGGGCACGACCTCCGCCCAAGGGGTTTGTGCGACTGTCCCCTGCTGAGATCGAGCAGAAGCGGCGGGAAGGGAAGTGTTTCAACTGCGACGAGAGGTTCACGATTGGCCACAAGTGTGCACGTCCGGACTTGATGATGCTGGTAGGGAGGTGGGAGGACGAGGCGGAAGATGAAGCGAGAGACGGGGAAGACGCAGGAGAAGGCTACCAACCTTGAGGACAAGGTTGTTTTGAAGAGGAAGGGAATGATAGACATTTTAATTATTTCGGTTTATGTCGGTTTGAATTATTTAGTTCGGGATTATTTTGGGTATTGGGAATATTGTGGGGGATTAATAATTTGGGGGAGTTAGTAGGTAATTGTGTTTTGGGTATTTAGGCTATTGTTTACGTAGAGAATGGTAAGCAAGAATAAACCTAATTCCTAGTTGTTCTCCCTCCTCCTCTCTTCCCTCTGTGATTGCCGACCCCTTTCCCCCTCTCTTCCAAGCTGCCCAGCGGCAGCAGCCCCCTCCCTCCCTCCTTCTCATCTCAAATCCCCTCTATTCTTCTATCATCTATCTCCCAATCTCCCGGATCAATCCCTAGTTGATCCCCGATCCCCAATTGTCCGATAGAGCTTGACCTAGAGCTCTATCACCTACAGGAATTTGCCTATTAAAATAAAATTTTAATGTTTAGCAACTATTCTAATCAGTGGCGGAGCCAGAATTTCTATATCGGGTGGATCGAAAATAATTAAATGTAAATAAAAATAAAATAATTATTTTAAAAGTATACAACGTTTTTAGAAATCATTGAAAAATCATTCAAAATAGCATCTAAACTAAATGTTTTGCTATCTTTCTTTCAATATAATCTAAAAAGGCTTAATTGCAAGTTTGGTCACCCGAATTGCTTAAAAATTTCACGTTTGCCACCCGAATTGATTTATTCCATTTATAGTCACTCGAATTAGTTGAACAGTCCAAGTTCGGTCACTCTCCGTTAACCTCCGTTAGACTCCGTTAATGACGGCCGTTAAGTGATGACGTGGCTAACAGAAAGACACAGTCAGCACATTTAAACATTAAAAAACGACGACCCGACCCGACCCGCCAGCTCACCCTTACCCGCCCAGTCAGCCATTCTTGCCCAAACCCGCGAACCAACCCAATTAATTGACCCTAAACCTAAACCCGAGACCCAACCCCCCCTGAATTGTAAATCGCAGACGACAACAATTTCTTCCTTTTCCCCCTTTCCCTTCTGTTCCTCCCTGTACTCTCAATCTCTCCATCTTCAGCCTCCGATTGATGACAACGAAGCCTCTCTGGAAGACGGACACCAACACCGGAATGGTCAGGAGGGTAGAGCTCCGGCGAGCCAAAGGAGCGGTTACTTGAACGCCGATCCGTTTCAGTCTCTCTCGGATCTTCTCTCATCTCTATCTTTGGTGAACTTTACCTTCTCTATTTTTTCGGTCCTACATTCACCATCGACATTTCGCCTCCTCAGGCGGCGGCGGCGACTTACTCCCTCTCCCAGCCGGAGACCCAGCGGTTATTTCTGAAGCATAGGGTTTCGTCCGTTGTGGAGGGAGAAGAAGACGAGGATGGGTTAGTGGGTTCGATCTCGATATCCAACCGCAGTCGTTTTGGCCTTCCGATGGCTAGATCTGGGAAATCGCTCGAAGATTCTTCCGATAGCCCGTCTTCATCCGTCCGCGCTCCCGACGACAGCGACGAGGAAGAGGAAGACGACGGAGAGAGCAATAGCAGCAACGGTGCATCGTCGTCTATGAAGAAAGGCCTCGGCTCTCTCGGCTCCATGGACGCCTTGGAGGACTCTCTCCCCCCAAAGTGAGTTTGTGCTCCTGCTCGATTTGGATTCGGATCTCTCTACTACCCGATTATTAATGGGGGGGGGTGATTTGATTTCTCAAAATTGCAGGAAGGGATTGTCGAATTACTTCGCCGGGAAATCGAAGTCTTTCGCGAGCTTGTCCGATGCGTGCTTGGCGGTGAGCCAAGCGAAGGATCTGGAAAAGCCGGAGCACCCGTTCAACAAGCGGAGGAGAATTCTGATGGCGAACAAGTGGTCGAGGAGATCGTCGTTCTACAGCTGGCATAACCCTAAATCCATGCCGCTGCTCACATTGAACGAAGACGACGACGAAAGCGGCGACCACAATCGCCGCCGGGGGAACGAAGAAGACGACGAAGAGGAAGAAGACCGTCGTGAAAGCCTCTCGTCGTCCTCGTCGTCGGATAAGGATGAAGAGGATGGGAGACGAGCGCAGATGGAGAGAACGAGTTGTTGTCGTCTGTGATTTACAATTCAGGGGGGGGGGGGGGTTGGGTCTCGGGTTTGGGTTTAGGGTCAATTAATTGGGTTGGTTCGCGGGTTTGGGCAAGAATGGCTGACTGGGCGGGTAAGGGTGAGCTGGCGGGTCGGGTCGTCATTTTTTAATGTTTAAATGTGCTGACTGTGTCTTTCTGTTAGCCACATCATCACTTAACGACCTTCATTAACGGAGTCTAACGGAGGTTAACGGAGAGTGACCGAACTTGGACTGTTCAACTAATTCGAGTGACTATAAATGGAATAAATCAATTCGCGTGGCAAACGTGAAATTTTTAAGCAATTCGGGTGACCAAACTTGTAATTAAGCCAATCTAAAAATCATTGAAATCACTCAAAATAAAGCAAAATGTTAGGTTGTGGTGAATTGAACCTGGGTTCTCCACACTAAAAATTAATTGGCTGCCAGTAGACTACATGATTCTTATATGAACTAATATTCTGGCCGAGTCCAACTTATTTAAAATTTATCTAAATATACTTAAGATTCTAAGGACCATTGGCGGATCTAGGGCTGGGCCAACCCGGGCCACGACCCAGCCCTCCGTCGGATCCAGAGTTAGTATAGAGCTTATAAATTTTTCGATTTTAGGTATTTGGCCCAGTATTATTTAATGGCCGGTCGAGTGTATTTGATAATAAATTTTGTGTAGCGATCCCGGTGGTAAGGGTTTCCGATCTCGTGAGCTTGCTGCCGGCTCCGGCACCTGCGCCGGAGCAGCCTTTTCCCCTCTCTTCTCTTTTCTCATGACTGGTGTGAGTGCGACCGAGGCCGCGAATTCGACGACGTCATTCGGTGAAACCCAAGGTGTTCCTACGAAACCCTGGGCGGCGCTGTTTGGCATCTCGGAGGCCAATCGTCTTACCTACATCAAGCCTGAAGTTATCAATGGCGGGCTTCGTATGCCTAAGGCGGTGCGCAATGCTGGTGCGGCTAGATGGAAGAATTGTCTAGTAGGCCAGTTCTTGCAAGACCCGCCTTCGCTATACGTTCTTCGTCGCTGGGCGAACAAGCTCTGGGGTAGGGATGGTGTAGTTCGTGTCTCTCTTCTCTATGATCGAATGCTTCTCATCCAGTTGCCGAATCCGAAGGTCTGCGAATGGATTCTTGAGAATGGACCATGGTTTTACCTCAGCAACTTGCTCTATCTTAGGCCTTGGGTACCGGGTATTAGTGCTGAGGATTTGGGGCGGAAAGCGCTTCCAATTTGGGTTAATCTTGTGAATGTGCCGCTGGAGTATTATGATTTTCAGGGGCTTAGTAGAATTGCAAGCTGGTTAGGGATTCCGTTGGGGATTGATCATACTACAAGGATGAGGGATCGACATGGGTATGCTAAGGTGTTGGTGGAGCTTACTGTGGATAGTGAATGTCCGGATCATGTGATGTTGTGGCCTGATGAGGATCAATCTCTGAAAATTGGGGCCACCTACTGTAATCTACCGCCAGTGTGTCCGGTTTGTCATCTCTTTGGCATTACTGGGGACTGTGCAAAGCATCAGACGGAGAGGGTGATTGTTTCTGAGGATCCAGTGCCGAAATCTTTGATCACCAGTCTTCCTCAGGGGGAACCCAGCAATAAGAGCTCTGTTAAGGGCAAGGAGATTGTGATATTTGATGATGATCCTCAGTTGACTGCTATGGTGGGGGCATCAGTGGACAGAGTTATCCCAGCAAACCTGGACAGCTCGTTCCAAGAGGTAGCATCTCCAACGCTGCCTTCTAATTCTGAGTTTCAGCAGATGGCTTCCCCCAAGTTGCCTTCAGAAGCTGAATTCCAGCAGGTGATCCATGGTGCCAAGCCTCGTGTTTGGTCACCAAAAACAAGCCCTCATAATACATTTCAGGTCTCCGCTTCATCATTCAGTGTCCTTAGTAAGTTGGAAGAGAGAGAGCCAGTTAAGCTACAAGCAGTGCCAAAGAGAAAGGAAGGTAAGAGGGAGGGTAAGAAGGGAGGAGGAGGGGTAAAACCCTCGTCTTCTAAATGATTGTTCTCTTTAGGAATGTTAGAGGGTTTAATAAACCCTCTAAACAGCGGGACTTGTTACGAGTCTTGCAACGCAATAAAGTAAATGTAGTAGCAGTGTTAGAAACTAGAATAAAAGCTAATAAAGCAGAGGAGGCAGTGGCTGAAGTGTTTGCAGAGTGGAAGAAGTGTTTGAATTGTGTAGATTCTCCGCTGGGCAGGGTCTGGCTCTTCTGGGATCCGCAAGTGGAAGTGAGGATATTAAAGCCGGGGAAAAACTTTGTGCATGCTATAGTGAAAGGAATTAGCAATGAATCTCTCTTTCTTATAGCTGTGTATGCAGCAAATGCTGAGGAGGACAGGATCAAAACCTATGATGAACTGAGGCAACTACGGGTAGCAGGTTATCCCTGGATAGTGGGTGGGGATTTCAACACGGTCAGGGTACCAAGTGAGACTAGCAATCAACTGTCTGTCACTCCTAGTATGACAGCTTTTAATGACTGGATTGGGGATATGGAGCTCTTGGATTACAGAACAACAGGCCCCCAGTTCACATGGACAAACAGGCAGCAAAATAACCCTATTGCTCGTAGATTAGATAGAGCTATGGTGAATTTAGAGTGGATTGAGCAATTCCCTGACTGTGGCATGGAGGCCTTCCCTTCAGGCTTCTCTGATCATTGTGGTCAAGCTTGCACAGCTGTGCCAATCAAAACTCTCCCCAAGCCATTCAAATATTTTGAATTCTGGGCTGAACACCCTCTTTTCCTTGAAACTGTAGAGAGAACTTGGAGGAAAGAGGTTACAGGATCCCCATTGCAAGTGGTTCAGAGGAAGTTGCAAGAAGTAAAGAAGGTACTGAAGCAGTTCAATAAAGAGGTATATGGTGATTTGCAAGGGCAGGTAAAGGCATCAGAAGATTTGCTAAGAAAGGCACAACTTCTAGCATTCTCAGATCCTACCTCAGTTCATTTTGCGGAAGTCAATAAGGTGCAAGCTGACTGTACAAAGCTTCAGGTGGCTTATGAGAGCTTCTGTTGGCAGAATTCGAGGGTCTCTTGGATGCAGCTTGGAGATAAAAGCTCTGGTTTCTTTCACCAGGCAGTAAAAATCAGAACCTCAAAAAGAGCAATTCGAAAGCTCATTTCTGCAGGAGGGGAAGAGTTGGTTCAGTCTGATCAGATAGTGGCGGAGGCTATAGGTTATTATAAGAAACTCTTGGGTGAAGCAAATCCTGATATCAATCCTAGCAGAGAGGATATTGAAGGTATGATAAAATACACTATCTCCACTGAGGGAAGGGATCTTCTTGTGCAACCTGTCACTGTTGATGAAATCAGAAGTGTTGTTTTTGGTATGAATTCTCAAAAGGCCCCCGGGCCAGATGGATTTTCTGCTGGCTTTTACAAGAAAACATGGCACATTATTGGAGAGGATGTCACACGGGGGATCCTTGACCCTTGACTTCTTCCATCAAGGTAAGCTTCCCAGTGGAGTGAATTCCACAGCTGTTTCTCTTATCCCTAAGATCCCCACTGCTGATACCCTTAAGAATTTTAGACCTATATCTTGTGTGAATCTCTTATACAAAATTGTGGCTAAATTTTTTTCCAATAGACTTAAGGAAGTTTTACCTACCATTATCAGTCCTTCTCAGTCAGCTTTCATTAAGGGTAGAAGTATAAGGGATAATATCCTGCTAGCACAGGAGCTTGTTAGTGGATATCATAGACAGGGGCTCTCCTCTAGATGTGCTATCAAAATTGATATTATGAAAGCATTCGATTCTGTGAATTGGAACTACCTTTTCCTTATGATGAGTGGTATGGGGTTTCCTGAACAGTTCTTGAAGTGGATTAAGTGTTGCATTCAAACTGCACACTATAGTATTAATATAAATGGGGGGTTATGTGGCTATTTTCGAGCTAGGAAGGGGGTTAGGCAGGGAGACCCCTTATCACCATACCTATTTACAATAGCTATGGAGGGGCTCTCTACCATGTTGATGAAAGCAAGTCAGGAGAACAGAATTCCCTACCATCCACACTGCAAGAGAGTGTAGTTGAACCATATGTGCTTTGCAGATGACATTATTGTATTTACAGAGGCTTCAGCTCAGGCCATTCTTCAAGTTAAGCATGTGCTCCAGCAGTTTTATGAGATTTCTGGGCTCCAATGTAATCCTTCCAAGTGCGAGGTTTACTTTGGAGGTGACTCTGTTCAGTATAAATATGTTGCTCTCCAGCTTTCAGGCTTCCAGGAGGGTAAGCTCCCTGTTAGGTACCTTGGGCTGCCTTTGATCACTGGGAAACTATCCTCAACTGAAGTGGCCATGTTGGTTGAAAAAATTACAAAAAGGATTAAGTCTTGGCGTGTTAAAAAACTCTCTTTTGCAGGGAGGCTACATCTATTGAATTCTGTTCTGATGGGGATAGTACAGTTTTGGATGCAATTATTTGTTCTTCCTAAAAAAGTTTTAAAACAAGTATAAAAAGTCTGTTCTCAGTTTTTATGGCATGGTAGTGAAGAGGGTAGAGCCAAGGTAGCCTGGGAGAGGCTAGCCTATCCAAAGAAAGAAGGGGGATTGGGGATTAAGGATCTCCAGGCCTGGAACATAGCTAGTTCTGCTAGGATGTTGTGGCTATTTCTAATAAAGTCAGGGACTCTTTGGGTTGCATGGATGAACGAGTATAAGTGCAAGCGGTTAGATTTATGGTCGATGAAGCCACAGTACAGTAGCTCCTGGACATGGAGGAGACTGCTCAAAATCAGGGATCAGATTAGGCCATGGATACAACAGAGAAATGGTGAGGTTTACTGGGGAATGAAACGAATGAAGGTGTACTCAGTTCGATTAGTCTGGGATTCCTTGCGTGCCAAGCAGCCAGAGGTACCATGGTTTAAGCTCGTCTGGAATAGGTTCTGTCCTCCTCGCTTTAGCTTCATTGCTTGGCTTGTTATCAGAAATGCAATAGTGACGAGGGACAAACTTCTGAGC